GTACAACAAATAAGATATAACAAAAGTTTTTATTAATACATATTTGTTCCAATTTTTGTTAGAGAATATCCTAGATGTTGTGCTGATTTTATGACGTATGTTGTTTTCTAGTATCAAATCAGTTTAATGTGAAAGTATTAAAAGAACTATAAACATCTCTTCTAGAATTCTTTTTGTTACTTCTCTTACTTCTCAAAAGAAGCCTTTAGTTTTGCTGTTTTAAAAAACTAAATCACTTGAGCTGTAGGGAAATTCACTAGGGCATTTTATAAATGATCATGAACAAATATATTGAAAGATTTTATTCATGACCCAGTAAAACACATAGGAGTAAGCTAACACCATTTTCTTCAGCAGTGTATCTCAATAATGAAAGAAACACACAGTAGACATTTTGTTAACCTAGATTTACAGTTTACATTTTGTTTACCTACATTCAGAGTTTTCAACAATTGTTTAAATCGAAAATAACAATTTTTCAAATCTATAACTAATGGGTTCAAATCAGAAAATGAAAATCTCAATGATTATCTTGATAATTCAAATAAAAACAATTAAATTATTATGTTTTCTTATGTAGATACACTGGATAATTTTTTTTACTGAAGGCTGCATAGCCTCCCACTTTATTTTATTCATTTATATAATTAAAACAGATGGAATATATAAAACTCAAATTATTCAAAAAATGGGCATCATGTAGAGTGAATCTTCTAGCCCTGTGGCATACCTACCTCAAAACCCTCACTTAGATATATCAAATCTTAGTTTTTATTATGAATTATTCTAGAGATAATGAATATGTATGTATTTACACACATATATGTATTTTCATAGACACCTTTTTTCTACAAAGTATTGTCTGTGGCACAGAGGTTCCAGTACTTTGCTTTCTCATGTAACACTTCTTATTCTGAAATGTTCTTATTCTTTTTTGGGGGGGGGGTTCCGGGAATTGAACTCGGGTCCTTGTGCTTGCGCAGCAGGAGACAAAACCATTGAGCTAAATCCTGGGGAAATATGCTTATTCTTAAAATCGTTCTATATTGTTGAAATAGAGATGCTGCATCTTTTTCGATGGCAACAAGGAATTTCACTGCATCAATGAAAAAATTCATTTAATTAGTCTTTTCTGATTGCTGCTGAGGTGGTTTCCAATCATTTACTGTGCCATTATTGATGTTACACTGTCTGTGAATTTCTGTAAAGCCAGATGTATCAAATAATGACAGGCACATTTTTACTTTTTTATTATTATACTTCTTTGTACATATCAGTTTTACAAAGTAATGGCTTTCATTGTGATAGTCCCATATATGTATATAATATACTTTATATCTATTCTCTTATCCTTTTTATGACCTTCTGCCCTCTTCCTAACCCCATTCTTTGCAAATGGCCCTCTTCTACTTTCACGTGGTTTTCTTTCTTTTTCTAAATTCCACAAATGAGAGACAATGTAACAGCTATTTTTGTGACTGACTTATTTTGCTTCAATTCCTAAACCCCATTTCTACTCATTTTCCAGCAAATGATATAGTTTCATGCTTGTTTATAGCTGAACAGTACACCATTGTATATAAATATCATATTTTCTTATGCAGTTCTCCATTGGAGGTCATCTAGGCTGATTTTATAACTTGGATATTGTGAATGCAGATATAAACACAGGTATGTGAGTGTCTCTAGAGTATGCTCACATAGGTTCTTTCAGATATATAATCAGGTGTAGTATAGACACATATTAGGTTTATTTTCAGGTTTTTAAAAATATCTGTATTGTTTTACGTAGTGGCTACACTATTTAAGATTCCCATTAATAGTGTATCAGTGTTCCTTTATCCCCACATCCTCCTCAGCATTTGTGATTTTGTTGTTGTTTTCATATTCTGACCAGTGTAAAAAGGGAATCTCAATGTAGTTTAGATCAGCACTTCCCTGATATCTATTGAACTTTTTTTTTTCAGTTATTGACCATTTGTACCATAACTTTGGAAAGCATCTGTTTAGATAAAATATATTTTTTAATTTGAAAAACAATAATAAATTTCAGTGGAACTTAATCCTAGTAGAACATAATTAAGAAATATACTCTTCATATCTACATGTTTTTGTTTTTTATCACACTGGGGATTGAGTTTAGGGGCTTCACACTGAGCTACATCCCTAGCCCATTTTATTTTATTTATTTAATTTTATTTTAATTTTGAGACAGGGACTTGCTAAGTCACTAAATTGTCCAGGCTGGACTTGAGCTTGCAGTCCTCCTGCCTCAGCCTTCAAGAGTACTGGAATTATAGCTGTCCACCACCATACCTGGATTACTTACGTATTTTAATACAAAATTTTTAAATTATATAGTTCAATTTATGGACTAAGAACTCATGAATTATTTTCATCATATTTAAAAAATGGCCTTCACAGTGCATGATAAATACTTTTTTAATTCTAAGTTTTTATTAGTACATGTTTAGAGTATGTAATTTTCACACCTCTTGTGGGGAATGAGTCCATAAACATGATGCATCTTAATTCCTTTTTAATTCCCTTTGATTTTCCTCTCTCTTCCCTCATCCACTGCTTGGTACCCTTCCTTCATTCTTCTCCATGTTTGCAGTGCACAGTGCTTACATTCCCATGTGGGATTGGTATATGCACAAACACATCCCCATTCATTTTATTATCCTCTTTTTCTCCTCTCCCTCTCTCTTCCTCCATCTCTTCATCTCCATTTCATTTGAAAAAAATCTATCTCCCTATTGTATCTATCTTCTACTTTACCCTTCATTTATATTTCGGGTTTCTCATATAAGAGAAATCATGAGATTTAAGCTTGTGTGTCTGATATGTTTCACTTAACATTATGTTATCAGAGAGTATCCATTTTCCTATAAACAATTCAAGTGTATCTTTTTAAGGCAGAGTAGTACTCCCTTATGTGTAATACCATAGCTATGAAGTGTATACAATGAGCCTGATCTGAAGGTGTCAGAGTTCTAATTATTTAATCCTTAAATTGTCAACATTAGACTTTGTGTATTTCTATCATATGCCAGCCCTACCATTCATATTACTGAAGAACTTCTCATCTTGAAACTAATGTGAATTTAAATGGCCTTTTATACTAAGTAAATCCCTAGATTTACTTTAGATAATTGGTGTAATAAAGAAAGTAGTAATTTGGAAATACTGGTGTAGTGCAATACCCTCAAAAATTCATATTTTTCAATCAATATTCCTACAATTCATAATAAATAATGAAAAATATTCCAAAAATGTGAAAACACATATACTTGAAGATATTCATGCTACCTTTAAATATAGTAGCTAGTTATAAGACCAACAATCAAAAAAGTATTTATGACATTTTGGATTAGTTCAAATTGCTGACATGTTAATATTATTACTGATGTTTATGAAAACAATGATAAATTTGGTTTTAATGAAATAAATTTTAGTAGACAAGTTAAATATGTAACAAAATAAATATGCATGCAAAACCCAAAACCAATATAAAAGCAAAAAACATAATTTTTAAAGATTTTTTATTAAAATGATAATTTAATATATTCTACATTTATTTTTCCCATAAATGTACTGCAAAATATAAAATCTTTATAACTTATGACGTTAAAAATAATTCCTCTGTTTGATATCCTTCTACTCTATTCTTATTATTTTTTGCTGATGCTCTTTCAAGACTTTCCTCAACATAAATCAGCTAGAGAATGATGAGCAATGACAGATCAGCGAACATGAACTGGGAGCCTGGATGTTGTAAGCAAAAAATTTGGATTCCAGAAATCAGATTCCTTTCTTCAAAATAATTTTTCAAAAGGAAAGAAAAAGTTAAAAAGTGGAATTAATTAGATTATGTAAAATACTACATCGCATGGATTTAGTACATGCATAATAAATCTTAGGAATTTTCTTACTGTTTACATCTCTGTTATCTTTATCTTTTGCAGAGGTTATACAAGGTTATAATAGGAGAATTAAAACTCAAAAAATTCTACCTCTTCCAACATTTTTCCTCTCTCTCTCTCTCTCCCTCCCTCCTTCTCTCTTTTCCAAATAAGCTAGGGTAGGGCTCTAGGTTGTTAGTGTCAGCGTTAATAGATGAAAGAGTCATGGATATGATAAAAACAATATATGGTAAGGGAAAAAGAACATCATTGTGTTTCCAGAACAGGAAACTATTCCAGAAATAGAGGTGTGGAGGAAATTAACTTGTACTGTTTATTTTTAATCTTTCTAGTGCAAAACAGAGATTAGTACCTAAAGTTTTCTAGTAAACATTTGTAAAATTAAACATGTAACTAGAAGGCTACCA